CCTGCTGCGCCGCTGCTTCGGCGACGAGCCAGTGCTGCGGCCCGCGGCGCAGATCCGCACCAAGCAGCTGCAGCCGTGGCAGCCCAGCCGCAAGGTGGACATCATGGGCTACGACCTGCCCAGCGGGGACGCCGGCCCGGCCACTGAGGCCTGCCTCAAGCTGGCCATGCCCGAGGTACAGTACTCCAACTACCTGCTGCGCAAGCAGAAGCGCCGGATCGGTGTGCGGGCCCGGCCCGAACCGGTCCTGGACAACCCCCCGCCGCCTCGGCCCATCCGGGCACTGCCCCGTGGACCCCAGGGCTACTGAGCTCCGGGAGTCTGGCCTGGGCGTCAGCCCTTGGGGCTACCTCCAGGCCCTGCCTCATCAAGACCCCTACTTCCAAGGGACTTAAGCCCCACGCCGTACTTGGGGGTGCATCGCCCTATCTGAGCCCGCCTACCTTGGTTGGGTTGAGCCCCGCCTTCCAGGAGGGTGCTGATAGGCCCGATCGAGCCCCGGGCCATCCCCTCCCCCTTCGTAACTGGGTTGTGACTTTTACTGGAGGTTTGAGGCCTATCCAGGACTCTCCTGCCTTTTTCTGGGGTTTGAACCCTCCACCCGTCTTTTCCAAGCGGATGAGCCCAGGCCGCAGAGAGTTCTGCCTGCCAGCCTCCCAGAGCTCTTGCTCTTCCTCACGGGGGTCAGAGGTCCCCACACCATCTGTCTTCCAGGTTCCACCCTCACCACAGACCTAAGCTGCTCCCAGACTCCCAGAACCAAGAGTTCTTGGGTTGGGCTTTTAATTTGTTTGGTTTTTCTTTTTTTAATAAAATATCTTTAAAATGTGCAGATTATATGTCAGTCATTGAAAGCCAGATTCCCCACCTTTGATGAGGGAGATGCCCAAGAATAGCTGTGGTCACCGGGAGGATCAGGACCCAGCCTCAATCAAGTTCCTCCACTGCTCTTTCCAGCTGCTCGCTCTTGACTGACTGAGCCACCTCAGCCCCACTCATTTCCTTTGAGAAAATCTAAATCATTTTTATTCATTTCAGCAACATTTATTGAGCATCATCTCTGTAACGGGGACACAGGTGAACATGGCAGCTAGAGCCTTTCTCCTCATGGAGCTCATGGGAGACATTGAAACTGGAGCAGAGGAAAACAGAAAGGAAGGACTGCAGGGGGTTGGAACAGAGCAGCAGCTCCTCCGGCAGAGCTGAGGTCAGGAGGGTCATTCCAGGTAAGGAGGTGCTGAACTCAGAATTTTACCTCCCTTTTTTGACTCACTGTCCTTCCTTCCCACAATGAGGATCATTCCCTGCCACTAATGTCCTTTAGCACAGCAAGGCATCCAGCACCTTCAAATGAAACCTTTCTTAAAACTAGCAGAGAATCAGGAATTTTTTTCTGTTACTTCCTTTTTTTCTTTACATTGACATATCTGGACTAGTGCACATAGCTAACGTGGGCTGCTATGTGCCAGCCACTGGTTAAGGGATTTATATGTATTAAGAGATAGGTACCATTTTCTGGGTGAGGGAACTGAGACTTAGAGAAGCTATGTGACACTCAGGGTCACGCAGCTAGAAGGTAGCCACTAGAATTTGATCCGAGAGTGTAACTTCAGAGCCTGTGCTCCTAAGTGCTACCACAGGGCCATCTGAATAAGATTCACATGTCCAGGGCTAGGCGGATGGATACCCAGGGCCTTCCCCCAAACGAATGTCAAGCGAAGAAACCAAGATACTGCTAGCAGCTCCTCTTTATTTTTCACAGAGACAGTCACTGACCTGTTGGGCAATGGAGATTGCAGTGGTTGGCCAACAGGTTGTATGACATGCCCAGGGCCGAGTCCACAGGAGAAAGGCCTTTAATAAAGTAAATGCTGCTGGGAGAAGGCACATTAATGAGAGCGATGAAACTAGTTAATATTCATTGAGTGCTTGCTACGTGCTGTGCGCTTTTCTCTGTGCTTTATGTATTATAATTTACTTGATTTTTACAGCAACCTGGTGAGATGGGTGTTATTCTTGTGCCTCTTCCACAGAAAGGGAAACTGAAATACAAAAAAGGTGACATGCCCAGGCTCACCCAGCTGGGAGAAGCTGAGCTAGGACAGAAACCAGAGTGCTTGGGCTCCCAAGCCCCGGTTTCCAGCACTGGAATACATTGTTGCACCGACTCACACACCCAGCAACCCCTGTGGCCTCATTATTAAAAAGCCTTCTTAGATAAGCCCCCTGAGAGCGGGAGGAAGGGCAGAGGTAAGGAAGGCAGGGCATGGAGAGAGCAAGCTGGTGATCTGCCAACACAATTGGGCAGCTTCCCAGGAGGTGCTAGTGGAGTGGAAAGGGGACTAGGGGGCGGGAGCACTGGAGGAGAAGGGGCTGGCTGTCCAGACATGGGGATGGAGGGGAAAAGGGATGCGATGGGGGGAGGTGAGCGTGGCAGCCCCTCTCTCAATCAGACTTGAGATTAGCTCCTGTAAACCAGTAGGATTGCGGGAAACCGAGGACCCCAGGCAGCCAGCCATCTCCTCCCCAAGAGTTCCCTGGCATGCTCCAGTAGGCAAAGGACAGGACAGGAACAGCCTCCTCCACCCCCACCCCAATCTCATGAGGTTTTCACAAGACTGTCAGGGCACAGGAGTCAGAGCCTAATACCCCATTACAAGTGGGAAGACTGAGTTCCAGAGAGGAGATGTGGCTTCCAGAGGTGGCCTAGAGTAGGCCAGAGACAGGAGTGAGGACACTCCCATGAACTGGAGCCACAGAGGCAAGATCCTGAGTCCTCTATCCCAACTGTGTCTCCAGCCCAGAGCTCCCTCCCTGGTGTTCCCCAGACTCATCAAATGTACTAAGTTCAAAACCAAACATCTCATCTTCTGCCCAAACCAGCTGGTCAAGGGCTCTCAGTTTCAGGGACTGGCACCCCCATTCAAACAGATACTCAAGCCACAATTCTTGGTGTCTCTTCAATGTCTCCCTCACCCTTTCCCTGGCACCACCTACCTGTCGCCATATCCTGTACATTCTGACTCCTGAATAACTGGCATCTACTACCTCTCCCCACAACATTTGCCTTAGTCAAATCATCAGAGTTTCTCTACTGGTTACATCAACAGCCCCCTAACTGACCTACCTGACTCAGGCTCCTGCAGCAAATGCAATCTCCTCTCCATGTACAGAGTGACCTTGAAGCCATCTGAGCCTATCACTCCTTTGTTTGAAACACCACTCTCCCTTACCAGGCCCACAGGGCCCAGTCTAGCCTGACCCCCCAGAAACCTTTCAGCTATACCTTCCATTGTCCCCCAGCCCCCATCGGTTCCAGCCACACTGTACTATGCACCATTCTCTTGAAAGCTGAATTTTACCAGCTCATTGTTGAACACAAATTATATGAAAAATTAAAAGTTACATTATTAAATTAACTTATATACTTGCCATTAAATTAATTATATTAATAGCAAAGGTAGTAAGTACAATTCATTAACTTTCTAATTAGTTCACTAGATTTTACTATTATTTTTTTTTTAACATTTTTATTGATTTCACAGAGGAAGGGAGAGGGAGAGAGAGAAACATCAGTGATGAGTCATTGATCGGCTGCCTTCTGCACGCCCCCTGCTGGGGATGGAGCCTGCACCCCCGGCATGTGCCCTTACCCAGAATTGAACCACAGTCTCCTGGACCATAGGTTGATGCTCAACCACTGAGCCACACAGGCTGGGTGATTTTACAATTACTTATGCTCTTAAGGGTATCTGTAACTATTGTATGTGTCTGGTAGAAATCCTATAGAATTGTGTGCTACTTAGGCACATTTCATCCACTGTTCAGTGACCTTCCATTGGTAGCATGAAATCAGCCACGGTGGGAGTAGTTATACTACAAATCAACAAACACTATAAATCAGAGATTGGTTTATTGTTTTGTTGTTCATGTAGACGAGGGATTTACAAACTGCAAGCCAAATCTGACCCTCCACTTGTTTTTGCAAATAAAGATTTATTGGAACACAGCCACACTCATTCATATGCTTATTGTTCTGAGGCATTTTACACAACAATAGCAGAGTTGAGCAGTTGCTGTGGAGACTGTATGGCCCCCAGAGCCGAAAACATTTAGTACTAAAACATTTGGCCCTTCATGAGAAAAGTTTGTTACTCATTAACAAAACCAAAAATATTCCCCGGCTGGTGTGGCTCAGTGGTTGGGCATCGACCTATAATGCAGGAGACCATGGTTTGATTCCCCGTCAGGCCACATACCTGGGTTTTGGGCTTGATCCCTAGTAGGGGACATGTAGAAGCCGCCGATCGATGACTCTCATCATTGATGTTTCTCTCTCTTCCTTCCTCTCTCTGAAATCAACAAAAACATATTTTAAAAAATATGTGTGTGTGTGTGTGTGTGTGTGTAAAAAATCAACCAACACATCAGAACTACACATGGAGAGATGGGTGCTAAACACCAGCATATCACTGCCTGAAGGTGCCGGGCCCATTCACACCTCCATTCTTTGCCCACAATGCTTTTATTCTTCTGCGCCACCTGGAGAGTTCCTACCCATCCCTCAAAACCCAATTCAAATGTCCCTTTTCCCATGCTGCCTGTACCAGTTAGCTATGGGCTGTGTAACAAACTGCCCCAAAACATAATGGCTTTAAAAAACTTACTGTTTCTCACTAGATTATAGTTCATCTTGGTGGTTCCACTGATCTGGACTGAGCTTGATTGATCTCTCTCTGCTGAGCTCACTCATGGTACTTGATCAGCTGGCAGGGTGGTTGGGGGCTGGCTAGTCTAAGACAGCCTCAGCAAGATGACTTGGCTGTGCTCAATATGGTCTCTTATTTTTAGCAGATAAGCCTGGGCTTGTTCTCATTGGCCAAGTGTGTGTCCCAAGAGAGCGAGGGAAAACGGGCAGGTTCTCTCCAGTCTTTCAAGAGACACCCCATCACTTCTGCCACTTTGATTGGCCAAAGCAAGTCACAAGCCAGTCCAGATTTGAAAAGTGGGGACATAGATTCTGCAAAGTCATGTTTCAATGGGGCATTGTGGATAAAAGGTGGGGGGAGGGCTGGGGCTATGTATATATTCACTCTGTCACATTACCTTCCCCTCTTTCCTTACAGCCACAATTCTAGGTTTCATACCTTTATCGGAGAAAATCAATATAAACCCCAGCAACTGGTGTGTGGCTGTTGAACTCATGCTTTCTCTTATATTCCCCAGAGTATAGTAAATTACACTCAGTTTGCATTTATATGGCAGGGATAACAGCACACCTTTACTGTCTTGCCCCTGGGTTCTGCCATTGTCCTGCAAACTGCAAGGTCTAGAGAGACTGTGATAGTGTTGACAACACAGAGAACACTATGCTGATACATTCAATAGATGCCATTATGCTAACTGGACTCCATGAACAGGAAACAGCAGGCATCTTAGGTGCCTCGGGCATACATATGTCAGAGTCTGAGGTGAACCCTGTGGAAGTTCAAGGGCCTGCCACATCAGGAAAGTTTCTAGGGGACCAGACCTCTGGGAAATGTCACGTATCTTCCAATGTGAGAGACAAGATGCTGTCCCCTACACCATACACCATAAAGAAAAAGGAGCAGTGTCTTGGATTTTGGAGCCAACATATATCACCTTTGGACAGGGTACCCAATTAGCATCAAAGGCTTTTTGATTCATTTACTGAGTAACCTATAAATCTGACAGTGTTAGGTCTGGACCTAAGAAAAGGCTCTTCAGAAGTCCAGGCTATGATACAAGCTGCCCTACCACTTGGGCATTATGCCTGGTAGATCCACGTGCCTGACTTAGGTGTCAGCCAAAGATGCCATGTGGTGCCTCTGGCAAGTCCCAATAGGCGTATCATAGCTATGACCCTTGGAGTATTTTCCTTGCTAGCGTCTGCCAACAATTCTATGTTCTAAAAAGCAGCTTCTGGCTTGTTACTGGACCTTGGTAAAGACGAATGCCCGATTTACGGAATGCCAAGCCATTGTCAGACCCAGATGTTCTTCATGAACCAAGTGTTGTCTGAGCCACAGAATCATGAAATTGGATTTGCACAGTTGCCTCTCACCAGAAACCGGAGTGGTGTATGCGATGCTGGGCCCAAGCAGATCCAGAAGGCACAAACGAACCGCACAAGCAGGTGCTAGGAGTTCCATGGTATTTGTTTCTATGGCTTCACCTCCTCTCCCTTAGCTTATACTCAGCAGCTTCAAGGGGAAGAGGGAATAAGAAAGGTCTGATTTATGGAAGGCTTTGCGCACCAAGCCAGCGCCAGCCAGAGTGGACAGCCCCATTCCAGGGGGCCCTGAAAGACTGGTGAAGGAAAGGAGAATCCTCCCAGGGGGCAGAACATTGGGCAGTACATGTGCTGTCCACTTGGTGCAGAAGGAAAAAAGGCCTGTGGTGCAGATTGATATGAATTCGTGAGCAATATCTGATGGGGCGTCCATTTGCAGAGACTTGGAAAGAACACAACTGGGAGCTTGATGACATGATGGTCTAGGAGAGAGGTCTGTGGATGATTGGTTCTTTTTTTTGTTTTCGTTTTTTTAATCTTCACCTTAGGATATTTTTTCCATCACTTTACGAAGAGAGCAGAATGGGGAGAGAGAGGGAGAGAGGGGGGAGAGAGAGAGAGAGAGAGAGAGAGAGAGAGAGAAAGAAAGAAACATCAATGTGAGAGAAACACATTGATTGGTACGTGCCCTTGGCCAGAATCAAACCCGGAACCCTTCAGTCCACAGGCCGACACTCGAACCACTGAGCCAAACTGGCTAGGGCATGAGGATGGCTTCTTAAAAATGCTCACAGAACAAGAAGATATTCACGTGCCATGTAAATGCCTGTCAGGAGGCAGTCAGTGGAGGAGTCCTGGCTAGATAAGATGGCCCGTCCTGTAGATTTGGTCAGTCTCTTCCCCAAGCAGTGGACCCATGGGAAGGGCAAAGCCACTAGAGTTATCTCTGTCATAGAAGATTTCTGTGCTCTTGTCCAGCTTTGTGTTGACCTGATGGGTCGCTTTGGGCCATTCTCTTCCCTCCTCTTGACCTTGGTTCCCTAATTTTACAGTGAAGGGGTTGCACACGATGATCTTTGATTCTGAACTATAGCCCAATAGGAGGCATTTGAGAATGAGGTCTGAGAGGCAGCCTGCTCGTGACATCATAGAAGGGAGAATTCCGAGGAAAGAGCCAGGCTTTCCTGGAGGCCCGGCCACAGCTTAGGTGAGAAGGGCAATCAGGCAGGGGCCTGCTGGGCCTATGTCTTGAGCTCTTCTTGTCCCAGGGTTCCCAGCATAGTCATGGATCAACGTGCGATGGCAGAAAAGGCTCAAAATGAGGCAGATACCAGTGACTTGGCTGTATCCTCTCCCCCCAGCTTATCAACCCCACACTCCAGATCAGGTCACAGTGGAGTCCATCACCATCACAAGTTCCATCACCATGGTGTGTCCCATCATCATGGTAGATCTCACCACCCTGGTGAGCTCCAAGACTTCCCTGAGAGTACCGTCTCCCACCATTCCTCCCACCATCGCCACTCCTCCCATCATGGTGGGGCCCACCACTCCAGGTCCCTTGGCCTGGCTGCTTCCCGTGACACTGCCCTCTCCCACCACTCCAATGATGAGGATTTTGTTTATGACGAGCACCACCGTGGTAGCAGGAGACATCACTATAGGCTTCGGCACCATCGGGGGCCCCACCATGGTGAGTCCTACCCCTGTGGTGAGTCCTACCCCTTGGGGGGTCCCACCACCATGATGAGTCTCACCACCATACCATGGTGGGCTCCAGCACGAAGGTAAGCCTTACTGCCACAGAGTCCTACCCTGACAGTGGGGCCCGTGAGCGTGGGGGGCCCCATCACTCTGATGCTTAAGACCACAGCAGGCACCATCATCATCAAGCCCACCAACCCAGAAGGCCTCTTCATCATGGAGAGAGCTCTTCCCACCACTTCCACGGGGGGTCCTCCCACCATGGCACACCTCGCTACCCCAGTGAGCACCGCGCGGCCACCATGGCCACCACAGAGAGCACCACCGCGGTGCACGGCGTCACGATCACTCACCTCAGGTCTCTCCCGAGTCTCTGGCCCACGCAGGCCCCACGGTGTGGTCAGAGCCAGCTGTGCCCTTTCTCATGCAGCAGCCATGCAGCCTAGCATGGCGCACAGACGGAGCAGGGACTCCATCTTGACTCGGTCGCGCGCTACAGTTCACCCTTTGGCCGAGAGCTCCAGCGACGTCCACCCTCAGGACAACTACTCTAAAACCTCCGAAAGCTGGGCTGACGATGAGCAGTTTGAGAGATACAAAAGTGAGTCTTTGCCCACCCCACGCCCCCCTCCAGCTCCTGCTGCCCAGCCCAGATTGCAGCTCTAACTCAGGCCTGCACCAACCTTGCACAGATCATGAGGCTTGACCCTCACCCACAGGTACTTCTCAGTGGCTGTTCACTCACCTGTTCACCACCCAATCTTTCCTTTCTAGAACTGGGCCCCTCTTTAGGCTGTCAGTTGTTCACTCAGTCACTGCTTTATTCATTCGCACGTTCACTTTTCGAACATTTCCCCTTATCTAATATGGGAACCTGGACAACTTGGGCCCTGGCAGCACAGGGAAGACCAGCCCTCAAGGGGCTCCAACGCTGGGGGTGGTCACAAGCGACCAATCCCAGACAGTGCAGTGATGGAGGCCTATCCTCCATGTCAGAACATTTGTGGATTCTTTTCTAAATTTTGAATATTTTTATTTTATTTTTAAAAAATATGTTTTGATTGATTTTTAGTAAGAGAGGAAGGGAGAGGGATAGAGAGATAAAAACATCGACGAGAGAGAATCGTCGATTGGCTGTCTCTTGCACGTCCCCTACTGGGGATCAAGCCCGCAACCCAGGCATGTGCCCTGATCGGGAATTAAACCCATGACCTCTTGGTTCATGGGGTGATGCTCAGCCACTGGGCCACACCAGCCAGGCTGTGGATTCTATTTGTCCATATTTTCCACACTAAGCTGTGAGCTTCTTGAGCAGTGCCTGAATGAGGGCTGTTTGAGGGCAGGGAGGGACCTTGGCTGCTAATGCACAGCCCCCCAAACTTGGCCCCTAGTAGCTCACAAACATGGCAACAGCCCCATGAACAAGCAGAGAGTGGGGAATGTCTAATGGATGGGGGTAGAGAAAGCAGCCAAGAGATGTTTCTGCAGAATCTTAAAAGGAGAGGGAGAGTTTACCAGAGGATAGGACGGTGTGGAGGATCAGGATTTCCACACGTAAGTTGCCATGCTAGCAAAGAAAGGAAGGAGATGTAGGAGCATGAACCCTCAAGGTATGCTCCAGTAGACCCCAAATCCCAAACAGGCTGGCATCTTTCATGGGAGGAGCCGGGCCTGTGGCCCCAATACCAACACAGGACTAATACAGAGGCGCCTTAGTGAATGAATGGCAGGCAGGCATGAGGATGAACTCCACCCCAGCCTGACAGGAGGCCTGGGATCCCCAAGCCCCGTCCCACACAGACTTGACCTTCTGGCCCTCTTATAGCCAACAGACCCCCGCGGGCCCACAAGAAGGTCCACAGCATGAACGTCTGCAGTATGTTGTGGGGAAAATTATGCCACCTCTTTGATGGCCTCCGGGAAATGCTCAGGATCCTGACTGAGTCCCTGATCTTTGACGCCTTCATCTTCCTCGTCGTCTGCCTCAACATCATCATGCTTGTGGTCCAGACCTTCGCTGAAGTCGAGGTCCGGGGTGGTAAGAGCCGGGGAGCCCCGTTCATGTTGAGAAGGCAATTGATGTTGCTTCAGGGCTCCTGTCGGCCTGACCCAGTGCCAAGTGATTTATACAACTTAGCTTATTTGACCCTCAGCCCTGGGAAGTGGACGACATGGCCCAGTGTTAGAGATGAGGCTCAGAGCCAGCGCCGGGGTCGGCCAGGCCGCCGGAGACGCCCGCTGAAGTACAGGGTGTGCTGTTTGTGGCTACAGCCACTAGGAGGCGGGTCTGCTCCAAATACGCTGCTTTGCTGGGACCCCGCGGGAATCCAGACAGGCCAGAAGGGCCAGGAGATTGAGGAGACCCTGGAGGGGTGAGAGTGGAAAACCTGAGAAGGTGGCCCCTAAAGCCCTGGGTAGCAGGGTGAAGGAAAAAACATAAGCTGAGGAAAGAACAGGAATGGCTGATGTTTTTTTTGTGCTCACTGGTTCAGGCTCCACCTTAAGCATCTTACTGTTAAATGCCTTTCATGTGCATAAAAACCATCGGGCAGGCTATCGCCATTTTACAGACAAGAAAACTGAGGCACAGAGCAGTTAACAGACACAGCTATTTGGGCAGAGCCAGGCTCTCCCTAAATAGCTGTGTGTAAGGTGCCAGAAGGAGGAGGCCAGAAGGGCCAGAGTGCCTGGAGATGGACCTTAGCAAGCCCCTGGTGTCCTTGCAGAGTGGTTCTTCGTGGCCTTCGACTCCGTTTTCCTCTGCATCTACGTGGTGGAAGCTATGCTCAAGATCTTTACTATGGGCCTCAACTATTTTTGTGACTCCTGGAACAATCTGGGTGTGTGGGGATGGGAGTCACTGCACTACCTAGGGAAAGCTGCGGACAAAAGGGGGACGGGGGCAGGGGACATTGGCATTGGGAGAGCTGCGGGTGTGGGCCAGGGTCCTGGGCAGGAGCTGTGACACTCCGGTGCCCTGCGCCCGCAGACTTCTTCATCATGGCCACGGCCGTGCTGGAGTTCGTGCTGGTGCAGCTCAACTCCCGCTCCTTCAAGCACACCGTCTACAGCCAAAGAGTCTTCCGGATCTTCAAGGTCTTCAAGAGCCTGCGGGCCCTGAGGGCCATTCGGATCCTGCGGAGGCTCAGGTCAGCTGGGCTGCAGCTGCCCACCCTGGCGTGGGGGCTCCAAGGGGACACAGGCCTGGATTCCCAAGGAATGTGTTGTGACCTGTTGCGGGGATGGGGAGGGAGGCTGCAGACGCCAGCGGCTTCGGATCAGCCTCCTGCTGGATCATTCTCTTCATTTTCCAGAGAGGGGCTGGGATGCTTCCAAGTCGCTAGCAAGTCAGGGGCCTCCCCCGCTGTGTCAGCCCTGGCTCCTGGGCACAGACGCCCCCCCCCAACCACCCTGTCAACTGTGCCCACAGCTTCCTGACCAGCCTCCAGGAAGTGACCGGGACCCTGGTGCGGTCCATGCCGTCCATCACCGCCATCCTGATCCTCATGTTCACCTGCCT